TATAATTATGTAATTATAACTTCTTTGTAATTATATTGCAATGTAGACAAACACATGCATTGAAGTAAAATGAATGACAGTAAACAGTAAATAAAGCTTACCAATGGCAGAGAGAGAGAGAGAGAGAGCGAGTGTCCGAAGCAAGCCACTCGAGTCCAGATGTTTAGGGCAGCTGCTTTCACAACATTAGATCCACTGTCGATAGTTACACACAATTGCTTCTTTTTATCTAGTTCCCAAACTACTCCCATATGTTTGAGGTAGCTCCGCGTTTTGGCGCAATGTCTTCTACAATCTGCATGTCTTCACCATGGTCTTCACCGCCGCCCTCAGCCATGTTTGCTCTCTGCTCTGTTGTTGTTGTCCCTGCATGCCGCTCTGCTACACATGCCGCGCAGATGCGTCATCAAAGTGCGCCGCACACAAACGTGTCTTCCGCTTGCCGTTTTCAGTGTTAAATGATCGTTTTCACCGGTATAAGGCATTTTCTTATCATTTAATTTACTTATACCGGTATACCGGTAAAAAAAAAAATATCGTCCAACCCTATTCTCCACCTCTATCGCCGATGCGGCGGCTCGTAGCTGTGGTCGCGAGGTCTCTGGTGCTGGTCCCGGCGGCAACCCCCGAACCCGGTGGTGGACACCGGTAGTAAGGGATGCCGTCAGGCTGAAGAAGGAGTCCTATAGAGCCATGATGGTTCGTGGGACTCCTGAGGCAGCTGTCCGGTACCGGCAGGCCAAGCGTGCCGCAGCCCGGGCTGTTGCAGAGGCAAAAACCCGGGACTGGGAGGAGTTCGGAGAGTCCATGGAGCATGACTATCAGTCGGCCTCGAAGAGATTCTTGTAAACCGTCCGGCGCCTCAGGAGGGGGAAGCAGTGCATTGCCAACACCGTGTATGGTGCGGGTGGAGAGCTTCTGACCGCGACTGGGGATATTGTCGGGCGGTGGAAGGAATACTTCGAGGTTCTCCTCAATCCCCCCGTCATGTCCTCCGTCCCGGAGGCAGAGGCTGAGGATGTTGGAGCGGATACTTCCATCTCCCTGGCAGAGGTCACCAAGGTTGTTGGCAGCCTCCTTGGTGGCAAGGCTCCGGGAGTGGATGAGATCCGTCCTGACTATCTAAAGTCCCTGGATGTTGTAGGACTGTCTTGGCTGACACGTCTTTGCAATGTCGCGTGGCGATCAGGGGCGGTGCCATTGGAGTGGCAGACCGGGGTGGTGGTCCCTCTCTACAAGAAGGGGGATCGGAGGGTGTGTTCCAATTATCGGGGATCACAGTCCTCAGCCTCCCTGGTAAGGTCTACTCCAAGGTACTGGAGAGGAGAGTTTGACCGTTGGTCGGATCTCGGATTCAGGAGGAGCAGTGTGGTTTTCGTCCCGGCGGTGGAACACTGGACCAGCTCTATGCTCTCCATCGGATACTCGAGGGTTCATGGGAGTATGACCGGAGCCAGAGCTGTGTTAGCATTGCCGGCAGTAAGTCAGACCTGTTCCCGGTGCATGTAGGCCTCCGCCAAGGCTGCCCTTTGTCACCGGTTCTGTTCACTGTTTCTATGGACAGAATTTCTAGGCGCAGCCAGTGGCCGGAGGGTGTCCGGTTCGGGGACCACAGGATTTCATCCCTGCTGTTTTCGGACAATGTTGTCCTGTTGGTTCCAACGAACAAGGCCTGCAGCATGCACTGGGACGGTTTGCAGCCGAGTGTGAAGCGGCTGGGATGGGAAACAGCACCTCCAAATCCGAGGCCATGGTGCTCGACCAGAAAAAGGTGCCTTGCCCTCTCCAGGTGGGTGGAGTTGTTCTTCCTTAAGTGGAGGAGCTCAAGTATCTCGGGGTCTTGTTCACGAGTGAGGGAAGGATGTTGTGGTAAAGAGGGAGCTGAGCCAAAAGGCAAAGCTCTCGATTTACCGGTCAATCTTCGTTCCCTTCCTCACCTATGGTCATGAGCTTTGGGTAATGGCTTTGGGATACAAGCGGTCGAAATGAGCTTCCTCCGCAGAGTGGCTGTGCGTTCCTTAGAGATAGTGGATGGATGGATGGATGGATGGAGTTTTAGATGCTGTTATTTTGCCAGAGAAATAGGAAGAGCAATGCTAATGTGGCTCACACCTGGGTAACCTTTACATCACCAGTTGACTCGCCCCAGTCTTTTAAACTTGAGAAAAGACAGTTCTTGATTACAATCTTCCTCTGTTTTCCCAAAAAAAGATTGAAAAGTGTAGATTTTAATGAGTTCTATATTCTAAATCTGGCTGCAACAAAAAAGCCTGTGTGGATCTGTCCGAGGGGCTGTGTCACTCGTATTGTCTGGTAATAAAAGACCGCTGTTGTTTATCTCCCCTTTATTCTGTTCATAATCGGCGTGAAAACAGAAATTTCATTCATTATTGATAGGATTAAACAATAAACTGCAGTGAAAAGGCTTTTATGAACGGCAGTCATTAGCATCCCCACCGGAGTCGCAGTAAAGTGATTAGAAGGAAATGATTCGCCTGACATTTATCAATTTATAGTGTTTTAAAGGAGACATGTGTAATATTCTCTCACAGTGGTCTAATGAAGTCCTCACAATTGCAATCACACTCGTTGCCAGACTCTAACAACTCAATTTTCTTTGACACTCATTTGACTCATTTGTATTGTTTTAACTTGAACATTGGAAACTTATTTGATAGGGACAGTGACATATTTTTCAACTGTGAATATATCTAAATGATATCTGTCATCACCAAACCCTGTGATCAAAGATGGTGGCGTATTCAAATCAAGGGCTTGTGCTCAGTGGCGCCCCACCATGGGCACCAAAACATTAGCAGAACTCGTCCCTATTTGGGCCATTTCTCTGGTTCTCCCGGTTCTGCACAGTGGACGAGCTCCCATGATGCTTTGTGCCAAATAATAACGAGCACGTTCTGACCAATCAGAGCTGCGGAGCAAAAGTGGAAGGAAAACCAGCAGAGTTTGTTGCACTTAAGTGTGAATTTGTATAAAAACAATGGATTTAACAAGAAATAAAGTTCAGAATGACAAGGGACACTAAGGGACACTCAGCTGAGGTCGAGCTGTTTTAGTTTACATTGAGTTCTATGGGACATTTTTCTGGGTAGCGCCCGTTAATTTAGTCTTATTCCCTGCGGGGTGGAACAGCAATAAACTAGTAATACCCTATCCAGATTATAAGATACATGGGAAGAGCAGAACATAGAAATACATTTACAAACAACACACATACCAATAGGCTGCGTTCATGTGACATCATGTGGGCCCATCTCTATATGTTGATGCTCGGCTTGGTCAGGCGCCGGAACTGGAGGATTTTTTTCCAATTGCTCTAAATGTTATACTTGTTATTGATGCTAGAAGTAGAGATTTTGTTTTATTTTAATTAGTATAGATATTGTTAACTTATCTTGTGCTGTGTGCTCCTCTTTCCTACTGTTCTATAACTTGTGATGCAACACTGAAATTTCCCCACCGTGGGACGAATAAAGGATCTCTTAATCTCTTATCTTAATCTTAATTTCTCCTTTTATTCTGTTGTGATGAATGCAACAATGACAGCGACATTTCCCCACGAGAACAAATAATGGTTTATCAGATCTTCTCTTACATGTTTGTAGTGGTACTGGGAAATGAGAGCACCCAGAGGAAACCTACGCAGACACGGAGAGAACATGCAAACTCCACTCAGAAAAGTCCTGTTATGACTGGGATTCAAACCCAGGAACCTTGTTGCGAACCACTCAGACATCAGTCACAAAGATCCAAGTCTTCTTCGTCAGTACATATCAACTGTGGCCTAATCATTTCGTCATAAAAGGCGTCTCAAGTGGGGCCAGTATTAAAATAACATGCTTCAGACACAATATTGATGTGCAGGTTTGTAACACGAATCCCTATCAAATAATAATACGAGAGGAGACATTTGAACTTTGGACATTAAATATTTCAGTCAACATTGCTTTTTTCCCATAGCATTGTATTGGCACCTGTCCGGAATACTGAAATAGAAATATAGAACATGAACCTGGCAAACTGGTTTTCTCTCATCGCTTTGTTTTGTGCAAAGACTGATCCAATTCACTGGAAAAAAATGTAAATAAAAATAGATAATAATTGCTTGAAATGGGTGTTTGCCAATGGGAAAAAGTCTTTTAGTCCTATTTCAAGAACTGTCATGGGGCGAGGTCAGTGGAAGTCCTCATTTGCCTACAGTCATGCCGTTGGACCTTTATTTACATGGACAAAGCCAACAGGTTTCGACCTCAGTTGAGTTGTTTTAAAGCCCTGCTTCCACTGGCCTAAGTTTATCCAACTTTACTGCACTCGGCTCTACTCTACCCTGATTGGAAGCGTTTCCACTGGCCCTGCATAACCGGTACCAGTATCAAGGAAAGTCCACAAACACTTGTTTGCTGCTAAGGTAAGAGTGGAGTCCTTTCTCCACTCTTACCTTAGCAGCAAAGCAGGGCTGGTCGATCCATCTGCGAAAATATCGGGAACTTCTTGCCAAAAGATTAGGTAACGCCTCTAAAACAAAAGGTATTGTGTTGTAGTCGGCATGTTTATTGTCAAAAATTGTTTAAATCTTTGTGTTGAAACAACTCATCATTAAATATGTTGTGTCCAGATAAAACAGTCATCTATCAGCGTTGTTTTGCTCCTTCAGCTGGCTGTTGGTTAAGCAACCCTTAACCAACAGCTGAAGGCTTTCAGTTGAAGGTTTCAACTAAGGCCAGACATCCCAATGGCCTGACATATAGCGAGCTGAAAATAGATAAAACACAGCTATGTTGTTCCCAAGTGTCTTTTTTTACAGACCAAGAGTGTATCGTCTCAGTCAGGAGTGTTTTATTACAATATAAAAACCTGTGATTTATAATCAAGTGTGGCTTGTAGTGGAAATGCAGTTGGTATGAGACTAGTGTAGCGTGTGTGTGTGTGTGTGTGTGTGTGTGTGTGTGTGTGTGTGTGCGTGTGTGTTTGTGTGCCCTCACCATTGGCGTGCCTTCTTGGTCCTCCATGGCTGTTCCTTGGCTGTGGTACAAACACCTGAATGAGCTCACCTGAGGACGGGGCAGGGAGCAGGGGCGGAGCAGGGGGAGGTGGCCCTGAGGCACCTGCCCCAAGAAGGCGGAGAGGGAGTTCATTACTGAAGCCATTCTTTGCATGCAAAACCGTTCAATACAGATCATGCATGTTTTAAGTGGTAGGGGAAACTGGAGGAAACCTACGCAGACACTGGGAGAACATGCAAATACCACTCAGAAAGGCCCTGTTCCGACCGGGATTTGAAGCCAGGACCTTCTTGCTGTGAAGCGAGAGGACTAACCACTCAGCCACCTTTTAAAAAAGGTTGTGGGAATGTGAATCATGTGAATATATTTTAGCACATTTACTGTATGTAATTTCTGTTCGTGGAGCTACTTGGAAGGGTTTGATGAGCTGCAGGATGGAGATCCCTAAAATACACACTTAAACAAATATGAATAAAAGGTAATCATTTCTTGAATGGAGTCTTTTTTATCCTAATCCGTGCACATTCTCAATAACAATATTCACAAAAAATGGAACAAAGCCATTTAATCTTATTTCAAAGAACTGTTGCTTTAGTTTCACATTCCAAGGGCACATTTCTTGTATATTTTTCAAAACAAGATAAATGTGCTTTGTCCCATTGGCAAATCTTGTTTTAAGACTTTTACTTTGACATAGCCAGCCAAAGGGTTGTGTAGATCCAGCTCAATGCTTGAAGTTATACTTATAGTTATACTTGTTCTCCATTGTATTTGCATTGTAACCGTACTGAATTTGTATTAATTGTGTGTTGTGTCTCAAGGTAAAAAGAGTGACAATCCTCTTTCACCCGACTACGTCCCATCCGTGTTCAGACATGTGCCTTCTCCAGTAAAGAAGAAAGGAAAGATGCTAATGGACACATTTAGCAGACGACAAGCAGCTAAAAAAGAAAACAGCAAGAAACACCTGAAGCACCCATGGGACCTTTCATTCCTCCTGGTGAATCCTCTGACACTTTGGGCCAGCACATGACTGTGAGCCTCCTGCCGGACCCTCCTCTATCAGAGACTACAATGAACCAGTCATTTCTTTAAATGATTGTGACAGTGGACCTACATGCAATAATGACAACTGTAAAGCACAAAAGAATTCACTGAAGTTGGAGGTTCAAGCTTTAAGAGCAGAAAATCAGTTTCTGAAGGAAAAACTGTCTAAAGCTGAACTTTCTGAATCCGCTCTTCAAAAAAGTGATAAAGTTCTATTGTTGACTGGACTACCAACATTTTCTATTCTCATGGCCCTTTTTAATGTTGTTTCCCCACATCTCAAACTTAAATCAGCCCTAACATTATTTCAACAGTTTTTGTTGACTTCAATTAAGCTTCGGATGAATTTAAGCTTTGAATTTTTAGCTTTTTATTTTGGAGTTGATTCCACCACAGTTTCAAAACTTTTAAAGCATTGTATTAGTGTCATGTATTGCAGATTAGTTCCAAGTCTTATTGTCTGGCCTGAAAAAGAGATTTTAAGAAAAACTCTTCCAAATGCGTTCCGTAAGAAACATTTTGAAAAAACTATTTGTATTATTGACTGTTTTGAAATTTTTATTGAAAAGCCAAGTAACCTATTAGCTAGTGCCCAGTGTTATTCAACATACAAATCACATCACACTATGAAATATCTGATTGCCATTAGCCCACAAGGATCAATTTCTTTCATTTCAAATGGGTGGGGAGGGCGCACAAGTGACAAGTTTATCACAGAAAATAGTAACTTTTTATCACACTTGCTTCCAGGAGACCTAGTTTTGGCAGATAGGGGTTTTAATGTTAGTCAGTCTCTTCAATCTCTCCAAGCCGACCTAAAGATTCCAGCATTTACTCGTGGGAAAAAGCAGTTAGATCCTGTTGAGATTGAAAACACCCGAAGCTTGGCGTCACTCAGGATACACATCGAAAGAGTCATAGGAGTTGTTCGTCAAAAATATACTTTATTACAAAGCACAGTACCCATTACATTTACTGACATTGACAAAGAAAATGATGTCATGTATCTTGATAAACTAGTGAAAGTTTGTTGTGCTCTCATCAATGTATGTGAATCAATAGTACCTGCTCAGTAAATGTCCATGTAATAATAATAATAAACTTGTCTGCTTAACTTTTCTTTTGAGAATTTATTTTTCTACAGGTGGGACACAGCCAGTGCTTAGGCACCCTTTTCATTCCCAGACAGGTTTGGTGGAACTTCTGTACAGAACAGAATCCAGAGGCACAGACTAACATGTTGCCAGATTCAGCCTCACGACAATAGCACCACTGCTGACTATTATCACACACAACTTTACGTGCAGAGAAAATCTTTGCCACTAACTCAGGAAGGACACATTTCTTGTAAAATTCTTCAGCATTTAGTAACTCCTTTCTAACAAAAACTTCATCTGGCAAGATCCGCTCAACAAAAGGTGAACAAGACTCTTTTTTTCTGTCCAAAGGATAAAGTCACAGTATGATTTTTCGGTTACAAACATTTGCATTTGAACTTGGTAAAAATAAGTATGGTCACGTTTCAGTCTTAAGTTTTCATTCATATCTGTTTCAAGACAGAACCCTGAAACACTATTTACAGCATCACAAACACTTACATCTTTAACACAAAAGGGGCACTTAACTTCCAGTACACCAGTACCACAGCAGCTGCAGGACACAACACCGTCTGGTGATGCTCCAAGAAATGGGTGAGTTGTGGAGATGGTAAACCCAGCCTTTTCCACCACAACGTCAGAATGTGTGAGCCGATGTTGGTTTCCATAGTGTTGTATCGCTGCAGCTTCGTGTTTACAGCCCCATCTGTTATACAAAAGGAAATGTTAATAATAATATCTGACAACTTATTTTTACAAAAACAAACATTAATATCCTAACCACATATGTAAATATAGAGAATAGTATATACCTTGTTGCCTCACTTGAAAAACTGTATGACAGTGGATAACATATTTTTTTTTATGAGTGATACTGAAGGCTTCATGATGTTCGTTTTAGTTGCTGCTCTGAATGTGGATGCTGTAATTCTACCAGCTCTCTGTTCGAACCATATTTGTGACTTTGACTGGTCTCGTGTCTCTTCCTCAACAATATCACTCTGAAAATACAAAATTACTACCTAAATAATATGATTTAAAACATGATTGATATAACTTTACACAGAAAACAAATACCACCTTTACCTGCTCTTTACTCACTGACAGCTGCTCAAACAAAGCTTCTGTTCTTTTCTGCAGCTCCTCACTACTCACATCTCTCATTTCTTTCTCATAAAGACTTGTGAGAGGATCTGGCAGATCCAAGCTCACTGTTTTAGGCACATATGACACTGAATGCTCCCTCACAAGAGACAGGACTACTGGTTTCATCTTTTGCCCATCTTTTGCACAACACTGAGACAGGCTGTTGTATAACAAAGATTGCTCACTTGGGGTCAGTGGTGGGATGGCTTTGGGGGCTGCACAGGGCGTTTGAGCCTTGTTCTGCTTTTTTGAGCTTTGACCATTATTAAATACAATATCTTTTCCCTGCAGGTACTCCACTTTCTTCATAGCCGTTTCACTTGGTCTGTCCCATTTACACTTTTTAGATGTTGCTGTCTCTTCCTCCCTTTCATGGTTATGCTACCATAACTTGAACAACATAGCTGAAACATGAGAGCAGCACTCGCCCTGTCCAGCTGTGCAATTACAGTGAGCACCAAGCACTACTCCATCTCTTCTGATCACTGCCCATGGTTTCAGAGAGGGGTCATTTAATCTTTGTGAATGATTTACCTGTAACAAAAATCATCTGTAAAACTGTCGCTATTCTGTCACTACAAGCTTAGCGTGCTAATGTTGCTGTCATAGTAGTTTATGAGATAATAATCAAGGCAGGTACTTACTCGTGCAGTGACAACAAAATAATCCTTCTGAGTTAAAATCCAAAACACCTTACAACAAATTCAACACCTTACAACACATTTAGCACTTTACAACACATTTAGCACTTTACAAAAATTGAACACCTTACAACACATTTAGCACTTTACAACAAATTCAACACCTTACAACACATTCAACACCTTCCAACACATTTAGCACTTTACAAAACATTCATGAGACAGGCCTCCTCTCTGACAATGTTTAAAACCAGGTTAAAGACGGTTCTGTTTAGCTGTGCATACAACTGAGGGATTTTATATTTTTATCTTTTTTTTTTAATGTACTGTGATTATTTATGATTTTAATGCTTTCTTGTTCTGTTCAGCACTTTGAATTGCCTTGTGTATGAATTGTGCTATACAAATAAACTTGCCTTGCCTTGCCAATACCTTACAACAAATCCAATACATTACAACACATTTAGCACTTTACAACAAATTCAACACCTTACAACAAATTCAACACCTTACAACACATTTAGCACTTTATAACACATTTAGCACTTTACAACACATTCAACACCTTACAACACATTTAGCACTTTACAACAAATTCAACACCTTACAACACATTCAACACCTTACAACACATTTAGCACTTTACAACAAATTCAACACCTTACAACACATTTAGCACCTTACAACACAGTCAGCACTTTACAACACATTCTTCTTACTTCATCTTCTTCTTCATCTTCCTCACCTTCATCTTCTTCACCTTCCTCCTCCTCTTAATTTGTCTTATTCTTTCCTCTTCTTCCCCTTCTTCCTCTTCCCCTTTTTCCCCTTCTTCCTCTTATTCCCCTTCTTCCTCTTCTTCCCCTTCTACCTCTTCTCCCTCTTCTTCCCCTTCTCCCCCTTCTTCCCCTTCTTCCTCCTTCTTCCGCTTCCTCTTCCCCTCCTCCTTCTTCATCCTCTTCCTTCTTCTTCTTCTTTCCTCTTCTTTCCTTTTCTTTCTTCTTCTTCTTCTTTCTTCTTTCATTTCTTTCAACTTCTTCCTTCTTCCTCCTTCTTCCCCTTCCTCTTCCTTCTTCATCCCTAACCCTTCCAACATCTATGCAGCCACTCACAATGGCTTCAGCCATTGTACCATTTCTAGTTGAGTGGCTGCATAGACTATGCAGCCACTATATGCTCTCCTACTGTTTATTCTTCTTCTTCCACTTCCGCCAGATTTTGGCACTTTTCAACTCTTCAACACTTTCACCAAATTCAACAAATTATACATCGTTACGACCGGCTTCACCGTCTCATTATTGCTATTACTTTTCACACTTCCACCTTTAGCACTTTTTCAGATATTAACAAAAGTTCAAGCACTTTTTCCCATAGACTTACATCGGACCAGTACAACAGATTACTCCCCATACAACACATTACCACACTAACAATTCATTACCACAGATACAATACATTACAACATCTTACAACACTTACAGCACCTTACAACACATTTAGCACTTTACAACACATTCAACACCTTACAACACATTCAACACCTTACAACACATTTAGCACTTTACAACAAATTCAACACATTTAGCACTTTACAACACATTCAACACCTTACAACACATTTAACACTTTACAACAAATTCAACACCTTACAACACATTTAGCACCTTACAACACATTCAACATCTTACAACACATTTAGCACTTTACAACAAATTCAACACCTTACAACACATTTAGCACCTTACAACAAATTCAACACCTTACAACACATTTAGCACTTTACAACACATTCAACACCTTACAACACATTTAGCACTTTACAACACATTCAACACCTTACAACACATTTAGCACTTTACAACAAATTCAACACCTTACAACACATTTAGCACTTTACAACAAATTCAACACCTTACAACACATTTAGCACTTTACAACAAATTCAACACCTTTCAACACATTTAGCACTTTACAACACATTAGCACTTTACAACACATTTAGCACTTTACAACACATTCAGCACCTTACAACACAGTTAGCACCTTACAACAAATTCAACACCTTACAACACATTTAGCACTTTACAACAAATTCAACACCTTACAACACATTTAGCACTTTACAACACATTCAACACCTTACAACACATTTAGCACTTTACAACACATTCAACACCTTACAACACATTTAGCACTTTACAACACATTCAACACTTACAAATTACAACACATTACAGCACTTTACAACAAATTCAACACCTTACAACACATTTAGCACTTTACAACAAATTCAACACCTTACAACACATTTAGCACTTTACAACACATTCATACACTTACAACACATTTAGCACTTTACACAACATTCAACACCTTACAACACATTTAGCACTTTACAACAAATTCAACACCTTACAACACATTTAGCACTTTTACAACACATTTAGCACTTTACAACAAATTCAACACCTTACAACACATTTAGCACTTTACAACACATTCAACACCTTACAACACATTTAGCACTTTACAACAAATTCAACACAACAACACATTTAGCACTTTACAACAAATTCAACACCTTACAACACATTTAGCACCTTTACAACAAATTCAACACCTTACAACACATTTAGCACTTTACAACAAATTCAACACCTTACTAAACATTCAGCACTTACAACAAATTCAACACCTTACAACACATTTAGCACTTTACAACAAATTCAACACCTTACAACACATTTAGCACTTTACAACAAATTCAACACTTTACAACACATTTAGCACCTTACAACACATTAGCACTTTCAACATTCACACTTACAACACATTTAGCACCTTTAACAACAAATTCAACACCTTACAACACATTCAGCACCTTACAACAAATTCAACACCTTACAACACATTTAGCACTTTACAACACATTCAACACCTTACAACACATTTAGCACTTTACAACACATTCAACACCTTACAACACATTTAGCACTTTACAACACATTCAACACCTTACAACACATTTAGCACTTTACAACACATTCAACACCTTACAACACATTTAGCACTTTACAACAAATTCAACACCTTACAACAAATTCAACACCTTACAACACATTTAGCACTTTACAACAAATTCAGCACCTTACAACACATTTAGCACTTTACAACAAATTCAACACCTTACAACACATTTAGCACTTTACAACAAATTCAACACCTTACAACACATTTAGCACTTTACAACAAATTCAACACCTTACAACACATTTAGCACTTTACAACACATTCAACACCTTACAACACATTTAGCACTTTACAACACATTCAACACCTTACAACACATTTAGCACTTTACAACAAATTCAACACCTTAAAACACATTTAGCACTTTACAACACATTTAGCACTTTACAACACATTCAGCACTTTACAACACATTTAGCACTTTACAACACTTCAACACATTTAGCACTTTACAACACTTTCAGCCCCTTACAACACATTCTTCTTACTTCCTCTTCTTCCCCTTCTTCCTCTTCTTCCTCTTCTTCCCCTTCTTCCTCTTCTTCCTCTTCTTCCTCTTCTTCCTCTTCTTCCTCTTCTTCCCCTTCTTCCTCTTCTTCCTCTTCTTCCCCTTCTTCTTCTTCCTCCTCCTCTTCCTTCTTCTTCTTTCCTCTTCTTCCCTTTTCTTTCTTCTTCCTTCTTCTTCCCCTTCCTCTTCCTTCTTCATCCCTAACCCTTCCAACATCTATGCAGCCACTCACAATGGCTTCAGCCATTGTACCATTTCTAGTTGAGTGGCTGCATAGACTATGCAGCCACTATATGCTCTCCTACTGTTTATTGAGTGGCTGCATAGACTATGCAGCCACTATATGCTCTCCTACTGTTTATTCTTCTTCTTCCACTTCCGCCAGATTTTGGCACTTTTCAACTCTTCAACGCTTTCACCAAATTCAACAAATTATACATCGTTACGACCGGCTTCACCGTCTCATTATTGCTATTACTTTTCACACTTCCACCTTTAGCACTTTTTCAGATATTAACAAAAGTTCAAGCACTTTTTCCCATTGACTTACATTGGACCAGTACAACAGATTACTCCCCATACAACACATTACCACACTAACAATTCATTACCACAGATACAATACATTACAACATCTTACAACACTTACAGCACCTTACAACACTTACAGCACTTTACCACACTTACAGCACTTTACAACACATTTAGCACTTTACAACAAATTCAACACCTTACAACACATTTAGCACTTTACAACACCTTAGAACACATTCAGCACTTTACAACACATTCTTCTTACTTCATCTTCTTCACTTCTTCCTCTTCTTCCCCTTCTTCCCCTTCTTCCTCTTCTTCCTCTTCTTCCCCTTCTTCCTCCTCTTCCTCTTCTTCCCTTCTTCTTCCTTCTTCCCCTTCTTCCCCTCTCTTCTTCCCCTTCTCTTCTTCCCCTTCTTCTTCTTCCTCCTCTCCTCTTCTTCTTCTTTCCTCTTCTTCCCTTTTCTTTCTTCTTCTTCTTCCTTCTCTTCCCCTTCCTTCTTCCTTCTTCATCCCTAACCCTTCCAACATCTATGCAGCCACTCACAATGGCTTCAGCCATTGTACCATTTCTAGTTCTTCTTCTTCTTCTTCTTCTTCTTCTTCCACTTCCGCCAGATTTTGGCACTTTTCAACTCTTCAACGCTTTCACCAAATTCAACAAATTATACATCGTTACGACCGGCTTCACCGTCTCATTATTGCTATTACTTTTCACACTTCCACCTTTAGCACTTTTTCAGATATTAACAAAAGTTCAAGCACTTTTTCCCATTGACTTACATTGGACCAGTACAACAGATTACTCCCCATACAACACATTACCACACTAACAATTCATTACCACAGATACAATACATTACAACATCTTACAACACTTACAGCACCTTACAACACATTTAGCACTTTACAACAAATTCAACACCTTACAACACATTTAGCACCTTACAACAAATTCAACACCTTACAACACATTTAGCACTTTACAACACATTCAACACCTTACAACACATTTAGCACCTTACAACACATTCAACACCTTACAACACATTTAGCACTTTACAACACATTCAACACCTTACAACACATTTAGCACCTTACAACACATTCAACATCTTACAACACATTCTTCTTCACTTCTTCCCCTTTCTCTTCATCTTCTTCCCCTTCTTCCCCTTCTTCTCTTCTTCTTCCCCTTCTTCCCCTTCTTCTCTTCTTCCTCTTCTTCCCCTTCTTCCTCTTCTTCTTCTTCTTCCCCTTCTTCCCCTTCTTCTTTCTTCTTCTTTCCTCTTCTTCCCTTTTCTTTCTTATTCTTCCTTCTTCTTCCCCTTCCTCTTCCTTCTTCATCCCTAACCCTTCCAACATCTATGCAGCCACTCACAATGGCTTCAGCCATTGTACCATTTCTAGTTGAGTGGCTGCATAGACTATGCAGCCACTATATGCTCTCCTACTGTTTATTCTTCTTCTTCTTCTTCTTCTTCTTCTTCTTCTTCTTCTTCTTCTTCCACTTCCGCCAGATTTTGGCACTTTTCAACTCTTCAACGCTTTCATCGTCTTCTGCCTCTCTGCCCCTTTTCTTTCTCTTCCGGCTTCTTCCACCTTCCCTTCCTTCGTGCACCATGCTGCTCTTCTATATGCTCTCCTACTGTTTACGTGTGCTGCAGTGACATAGCAGCACTATATGCTCGCCTACTGTTTATTTGAGTGGCTCATAGACATGCAGCCTCTAGTAATGCTCTCCTACTGTTTATGCTGCTTCTTCTCTTCTTCTTACTTTCCACCCCCACTTTCCGCCAGATTTGGCACTTTCACTCTCAACGCTTTCACCAATTCAACAAATTATTCAGCGTTACGACCGGCTTCAACCGTCCATTATTGCTATTTACTTTCACACTTCCACCTTTAGTCACTTTTCAGATATTAAAAAAAGTCAAGCTCTTTCCATAGACTTACAGTGGACCAGTACAACTAGATTACCCCCTTACAGACACATTACAACACTAACATTTCATCTCCACAGAACAATACTATTACATACATCTTCCTACACTTACAGCACCTTACAACTCATTTAGCACTTGACAACAAATTCAACACCTGACTACACAGTTAGCACCTTACAAACAAATTCAACACCTTCACACACTTTTAGCAATTTAACTTCTCATTCAACACCTTACAAACAATTCTACACCTTACACACTTTTAGCACTTTTAACAAATTTCAACACATTTAGCTCTTACACAATTTTCATCACCTTACTACAAATCAGCACCTTACAACAACTTCACATACTTACATACACATTTAGCACTGTACAATCATTCCTATACCTTTACTACAAATTTCAATACTTTTCAACACATTTGCCCCCCACTTTAACAACTAGTCAACTCATTACTTCACTGGGTAGCACCGGTCAATTCTTGCGAGACCGTACTACAAATTCAATACTTACAACCATTTAGCTCTTACTACATTATGTCAACGACCGTACAACACATGAGCTCTTTACAAAACAGTCGATATCCGTACAACAAATTCAATACTTACTTCTCATTAGCTTTAAAACACTTTCAGCCCCTTACGACACTTTCTTCCTTACTCATCTTCTTCACTCTCCTCGTCCCCTCCCCCCCTACCCCCCCCCTCCCCCCCACCCCCTCCCCCCCCCCCCCCCCCCCCCCCCCCCCCCCCCCCCCCCCCCAAACACAACAACACAAAAAAAGGGGGGGGGGGGGGGGGGGGGGGGGGGGGGGGGGGGTGAAAAAAACAATAAAAAAAAACAAAAACAAAAAAAAAAAAAAAAAAACAAAATCAAAAAAAAAAGGAGGAAAAGGAGAAGAGGAGGAATAGGAGGAAAAGGAGGAAATAGGAGGAAAAGGAGGAAAGAGGAGGAAAAGGAGGAAGAGTAGGGGAAGAGGAGGAGAGGAGAAAAGGAGGAAAAGGAGAAGAGGAGAGGAATAGGCGGAAAAGGAGAAAAGAGGAGGAGAAAATAGAAGGAGAGGAGGGAGAGGAGGAGGAGAAGGAGGAGGAAAAGGAATGAAGGAGGATGAAGTTAAAGGATATGATATAATAGATATTGAGGATAATGGGGAAATGGGATGGGAGAGTAAATAAGAAATTGGGGGGGATAGGGGGATGAGAGGAGTAAGGGATAATTTGGATTATTTGGTGTATGAGTATAAAGAGGAGAAGGAGATGGTGAGTGGGTGGAATATAGGAATAATGGGTATAGGGGGGATGGTGTGGGTATTTTGGATATAGGGGGGAAATGGGTAGGTTGGGAATGTATTATGTGGTTAGGAAATGTATTATATGGTAATTTATAGTATTGGATGTAATATTTTATTGTATGGTATTATGAGGATTAGAGGTATATAAGTATTATATGGTGTATAGGGTATTATTTGGATATAGGTATTATAGGGTATAGGGTATATTTGGTTATAAGTAGTATATGGATATAAGGTATTATTTGGATTATAAGGTATTATATGGTAAGGGTATTATATGGATTATAGTATATATGGGTATAGGGTAATATTTGGATGATATGGGTTTTGGTTATATTGGATATAAGGTATAAATGGAGAAAGTTATTATATGGATTATAGGTATTATTGGGTGATAAGGGTATTATATGGATTATAAGGTTTTATATCGGCTGTGATAGGTTATATATGGATATTAAGTATTATATGGGTAGTGGGGTTGAGTTGTGGTTTTGGGGGGGGGGGGGGGTGTTGGGGGGGGGGGGGGGGGGGGGGGGGGGGGGGGGGGGTGGTGTGTGTTAGGAGGTGTGTGGTGTTGGTGTGGTGGTGTGGTGGTGGTGGGTGGTGGGGGGGGGGGGTGTGGGTGGGGGTGGGGGGGGGGGGGGGGGGGGGGGGGGGGGGTGGGGGGGGGGGGGGGGGGGGGGGGGGGGGGGGGGGGGGGGGGGGGGGGGGGGGGGGGGGGGGGGGGGGGGGGGGGGGGGGGGGGGGGGGGGGGGGGGGGGGGGGGGGGGGGGGGGGGGGGGGGGGGGGGGGGGGGGGGGGGGGGGGGGGGGGGGGGGGGGGGGGGGGGGGGGGGGGGGGGGGGGGTTGGGGGGGGGGGGGGGGGGGGGGGGGGGGGGGGGGGGGGGGGGGGGGGGGGGGGTGGAGGGGGGGGGGGGGGGGGGGGGGGGGGGGGGGGGGGGGGGGGGGGGGGGGGGGGGGGGGGGGGGGGGGGGGGGGGGGGGGGGGGGGTGGGGGGGGGGGGGGGGGGGGGGGGGGGGTGGGGGGGGGGGGGGGGGGGGGGGGGGGGGGGGGGGGTGGGGGGGGGGGGGGGGGGGGGGGGGGGGGGGGGGGGGGGGGGGGGGGGGGGGGGGGGGGGGGGGGGGGGGGGGGGGGGGGGGGGGGGGGGGGGGGGGGGGGGGGGGGGGGGGGGGGGGGGGGGGGGGGGGGGGGGGGGGGGGGGGGGGGGGGTTTGGGGGGGGGGGTGTGTTGTGGGGTGGGGGTGTTAGTTTGGGGGTTGGAGTGGGGGGTTGTGGTTGGGGGGGGGTGGGGTTATTGGGGGGGTTGGATTTGGGGGGTAGGGTTGGGGGGTTTGAGTTTGGGGGGTGTGGTTGGGGGGTGGGTGTTTGGGGGGTTTGAGTTTGGGGGTTGGGGGTGGGGGGTTTAGGTTGGGGGGGGTTGTGGTTGGGGGGGTTGTGTTTGGGGGGGTTTGAGTTGGGGGGTTGGTTGGGGGGTTAGGTGGTGGTGGGGGGTTGGGGGGTTGAGTTTGGGGGGGGTTGGGGGGGTTTGAGTTTGGGGGGGTTGGGTTGGGGGTTGGGGGGGTTGGGGGGTTTGTGAGTTGGGGGGGGTTGGGGTGGGGGGGTTGGGGAGTTTTGGGGGTTTGGGGTTTGGGGGGGGTTTGAGTTTGGGGGGTTGGGAGGGTTGGGTTGGTGGGGTGTTTGGTTGGGTGAGGGGGTGGTTGGGTGGGGGTTGGGTGTGGTGGGGGTGGTTGAGGGGGTAGGGAATTGGGTTGGAGTGGGGTTTTAGTGAGGGTTGAGGGGGTTGTGAGTTTTTGGAGTTTGGGGGTTGGGGTTTGGTTGTGATTGTTGGTTAGTGTGTGAAGGAGGTTAGTGGGTGTTGGGGGGTTGGGGGGTTTGAGGGTTGTGGGGTTTTTTGGGAATTTTTAGGGAGGTTGGGTGTGTGTTGTAGTTGTTGTTGTTGTTGTTTATGGTTGTGATGTGTGGGGAGATAGTGAGGGATGAATAGATTGTTTATGTGTTATGTGTGGAGGATGTATGGATGAATAGATTGTTTATGGTGGTGTGGATGTGTGGGAGGATGTGAGTGTGGATGAATAGATTATTTTGGGTATTGGAGGTTGAATGGGGGTGGGGTTATGATAGTGGGGGTTGGGGTTGGTGTTTTGTGTGGTTGGGTTGTTGTTGTATGTTTTTGTTTGGGTTGTTGTGGTTTGTTGTTGTTGTATGGTGGTGTGGGTTGTTGTTTGGTTGTTGGGTTTTGTTTTGGTTGTTGTTGTGTTGTTGGGTTTTGTGTTTGTTGGGTTGTTGTGGGTTGGGTGTTTTGGGGGGGTTTGGGAGTTTTGGGGGTTTGGGAGTTGGGGGGTTGGGGTTGGGGGGTTGGGTTGTTGAGGGGGTTGGGGGGTTGGGGGGGTTTGGGAGTGTGGGGGGGGTTGGGGAAGGTTGGGGGGTTTGGGGTTTGGGTGGGGTGATGAGGGGGTTGGTGGGGTGGGGGGGGTGGGGGGGTTGTGTTTTGTGGTTTTTTTTTTGGTTTTTTTTTTGGTTGTTGTGTTTTGTTGTGTGGTTGTTTTTTGGGGGTTGGATTGGGGTTTATGGGATGGGGGTTGGGGGTGGTTTGGGAGTTCGGGGGGTTTGGGAGGTTTGGGGGTATGGAGGTTGGGGGGGTTTGGGAGTTTGGGGGTTTGGGAGGTTGGGGGGATTGGGAGTTTGGGGTTGGGGTGGGGTTGTGATTTTGGGGGGGGTATAGGGAGGTTTGGGGGTGGTTTGGGAGGTTGGGGGGGGTTTGGGGAGTTTGGGGGGGTTTGGAGGTTGGGGGGGGTTTGGAGTTTGGGGGGGGTTGGGAGTTTGGGGGGGTTTGGGAGTTTGGGGGGTAGGGGGGTGGGGGGGGTGTTGGAGTTTGGGGGGTTGGGGGGGTTGGGGGGGTATGGGAGTTTGGGGGGGTGGGGGGGGTTGGGGGGTTTGGGAGTTTGGGGGGTTTGGGGGGTGGGGGGGGTTGGGGATTTGGGGGGGTGGGGGGGTGGGGGGGTTTGGGAGGTTAGGGGGGGTTGGGAGGGTAGGGGGGTTGTGGGGTTGTAGGGGGTGAGGGGGTTGTTGGGGTGGGGGGTTGGGGGTGTGGTGGAGGGTAGGATATTGGGTTGGGGGGGGGGGGGGGGGGGGGGGGGGGGGGGGGGGGGGGGGGGGGGGGGGGGGGGGGGGGGGGGGGGGGGGGGGGGGGGGGGGGGGGGGGGGGGGGGGGGGGGGGGGGGGGGGGGGGGGGGGGGGGGGGGGGGGGGGGGGGGGGGGGGGGGGGGGGGTGGGGGGGGGGGGGGGGGGGGGGGGGGGGGGGGGGGGGGGGGGGGGGGGGGGGGGGGGGGGGGGGGGGGGGGGGGGGGGGGGGGGGGGGGGGGGGGGGGGGGGGGGGGGGGGGGGGGGGGGGGGGGGGGGGGGGGGGGGGGGGGGGGGGGGGGGGGGGGGGGGGGGGGGGGGGGGGGGGGGGGGGGGGGGGGGGGGGGGGGGGGGGGGGGGGGGGGGGGGGGGGGGGGGGGGGGGGGGGGGGGGGGGGGGGGGGGGGGGGGGGGGGGGGGGGGGGGGGGGGGGGGGGGGGGGGGGGGGGGGGGGGGGGGGGGGGGGGGGGGGGGGGGGGGGGGGGGGGGGGGGGGGGGGGGGGGGGGGGGGGGGGGGGAGGGGGCGTTTGCCGTGCGATAGGCTGGGGATGAGAACCGGCCTGGAGGGGTTACCTTTGGCTGACGTCTACCAAATTGAACTTTCGCTGGCTGCATATGTCCTAGAATATACAGTATTACATACTAGCTTCATTATTATGCTAAAGTTATAGACTTTATTCTTACTTCTTATCATGATAAAGTCAGATATTTTATTCTCAATTCTTGTTTACTTAGAATGCTAAAGTTTGAGTTTCATTTATTGTGTGCTCCTCATTCCTACTGTTCTGTAACTGGTGATGCAACACTGACATTTCCCCTCTGTGGGACAAATAAAGGATCTCTTCGTCTTAACAGACCTTATAAAAAAAGTAATGAGTTTTTTTCAGAGAAGCAGAGCGTGAGCAGAGGTGTCGGCTGCACACAATCTCTCCACCTCTGAACAAATGCAACACTCCCAGCATGCAACACACAGAGCACATGGATTCTGTTTGAACCAGCAGAAGCACAACACCTGCTGCTGGTGCACTAGGCCTCTCCCTAATGATGTTCAGAGTCATCAGGGGGCATTTACATTACACAGGCCACGTTCAGAGAAGTGGGGCGTTCAGGCGCCAGACCCCAGTGGGAAACCATCACGCTCAAAGAGAGAGGCAGCTCTCTCATCAGGGATTCTGTGCAAGGAGACAATTTTTTTGTCTTCACTATAGTTTTGGCTACTTCCTGTGACATATTTAAGAAAAATCATGGACATTTATTAACATTTATGGATATTGGTCAACCACTCTCAACCAAGATCAATAGATAGATAGATACATATTGTGACGTGATGAGAGGAAAGAGGACCCAAAATAAGATCCATCAATCCATCCATTTTCTTCTTCTGTTGCGGGGTCGATTCTCTGATCTGTGTTGGCAAACCGACAACTTAAATTGTAAAGTCCTCCGAGATGACAGCTGTTGTGAAGTAGGACTGTACAAAAAAAACAATTGAATAGAATGGACAGTATTCATTATCAATAGGTGAAGCTTTACTGTAAAACTCTAGACATTGGTAATAGAATCATACTCCAGAACTGTCCCACTGTCCAGACCACCAAAGTCTGTTTTCATCTAACAAACACTGTTCACCTGACCTTTCATGTCTGCATCTGTGCAATGATTCATCAGAATGTGCATTATAGAACCACGTGTGTCCACTGTCACTTTACTGAGTCACTGTGTCTCTGAGCCTCTTGCTGCTAAGTACAGATGTAAACACACAACTCTATGTTTCAGCACTAGAATATACAACATTTTATACTTGCTTCTTCATTGTGCCAAAGATAGAGATTTTATACTTACTTCTTATGATGTTTAAGGTAGAGATGTTCTACTTTATTTAGCATAATGAAGAAGCTAGAATTTAGAGATGTTCATTTATCTTTTGGCTTATGGTTCATTCATCTCTTCTCATTCCTGTTCTGTAACTGGTTATGCAACACTGACATTTCCTTCGGGATCAATAAAGTATTTATCCATCTATCCAGAGGTCTCACTGTAGATGCATCACATTATTAAACGGTATCTGCAGTCACCTCCTTTAGCATCTGACTTCACTTCATGCTGCACACAAAACAAGACATATTTCATTTAATCATTGGGGAGATTATGTATAGCCTTCTGATTTGATTGAAAACCGTTTTGATTGGCTTCCACTGCCGTCTATGTAAAGGTCATCAGTTACAGTGAAGTGTCCTCATTAGGCTCATTACGATCAAAGCCTGCAGCTGTGACCGACACCTGCTCGTCCATATTCTGCGTCTATACAATATTTATACTGCTGTTCCACTTATAAACACAGTCCGCGTCTGCTCGCCATGACATATAAAAATATACTGTGGAGCGCTGATATGTTTTATGTTTTAATTAAAGCCGTCGTAAAGAATAATAATGTTATCAAAAATACATAAAGCAGACACTAACCGTAAAGCTGTGTAATAAAGGAGTGAGAGAAAGGAGGCGAGGAGGAGCAGAGCAGAGGAGCAGGCTGGGCCTCAGGAGACGGATATAGGCTCGAACTTTTAACACGTTTTCTAAAGTACTATCAACTGGCAGTAAAAAAGCTATATTATTTTTAATGATATGATTGAATCCTGTATAACATTGTGGAAACGCAAAATATATCTAGAAAAGGTTTTTCTTCATTTATAGATTCATTTTCAGTTTATTTGCCATTTGCTGGAAAACTAGAAAAGAAGTTTCCTGATTAGAATCTAATGCCACAGTTATTTTTCTATTTAACTTAATGTTCCGGAGGGACGTGCTTTAAAAATACTAAAAAGTACAATAGGTCGGGCAAGTGCCCCCTGGAGGTGACCTGCTCCATCTCTGTGTGGAGTGAGAGGACAAATACTTCAAATGTGACAAATGTGAAAGGCGCTATATAAATTAAGATTACTTACTTGAAATCCGTAACTTTGGAAACCACAAACATTTGACTTTGTAATTCAATCTTGTTTTCATTGAAAAAGTGAGGACACCAGTTCATCAGTTCAAGATCAAATGTTTTCTAATAAGAATGAACCGAGCATGTTGTGGTCTGATATATTCACAGAAAAAATGCTTTAACAAGACTTTCTGTTGAAGAAATTTCAAGTGAAGCTGCTTCTAAACATGTTATTATTGTTTCACATTTACTGATATTTGTCATTCTGCTGTTGACTCCAACGGCTCCTATGTGTGTTTGTTTTATTGCGATTCCTCCGCTCTCAATTGTTGGATTCTCTAATCTGTTTTTGACAAATCCGCAGCTTTGTAAATTCCTACGAGACGACTCATTCAGAGCTCTACTGTCGAGAAATTAAGACAAGGGAGCGGCGCCTGCACCTGTTCATGGTTGATCCTCGAGTCCCTTCAGACAAGAGGAGACAAGGCTCTTTATCTGATTTGTAACAATGTGCATAAGAACAGAGACGTCATCCCCTGAAATATTCATGATCTGATGTTTAAGATATAGATGCTGTAGTAACAATGTGGGCAAAACAAAGACGTACAGTGTTTCAGATAATAATATTCAGCAGTAATACAGATATAACAGGGGTCCACAGTACAGATTATGCAGGTCAGATTACAAGACAAAAACACATGGAATTGAATTAACAAACACATATTTTCAAGTTTCCTGCAACAAAACGCTCTAATTCAGGGGTCTCAAACTCATGAGGTGGAGTCTGGGTGAAGCTGAAGGTGTTATGTTTATCACGTATTTGTTTGTGTGCAAAATGTATGTGCATCGAAGCAAACAGATCTATGCAGAGATTCTTCTTCGCATTCTTTACTGGAGAGAAGGTAAACATTTGGGCTCAAAACAGAGACACAAACAGGAAAACCAAGTGTAGAATCTGACCTACATAATCTGTTCTGTTTTACTGTTAAACATTGCACATTGCTAATAACCAATCTATATCTTAAGCCGGTGTCATGAATACTTGAAGTGATGACGTCTCTGTTCTGATGCACAAATCACATAAAAATATTTGTCCGTTTGTTTGATTTGGAATAACTTGAAAACTAACTGGATTACAGGTGCGACAGTCGCTGCTGCCTCTGTCTTCATTTCTCAACACAATTTTTTGGAAAGTTTTTTGTTGTTTGTATGTGACTTTTTATAACCATGAAGGTTTTGGACCAAATAACGTTCTTTTATTTAATATAAGTTTAATATAATTTATCATATTTCTGTGAACAAAATGAGTCCAGCTTCTGGGATTGAAACAAAACTGGACGAAAAGCAGTGAGACTTGATACTGTAGACTGGTTTAATAATTTTGTCTTTGACTTATTGCTTATTGCATTCAGGTTTGTTGCTTCTGATTGTTTATTACCAAAAATGCACCTTGCCAAGTTTTCCCTGAACACAAACCTTTTGAGACCACTGCTGTAAATTGACAGTTTCCCAAACACAACACAGTTCCCAATGTACAGAACCGAACGCGCAAATTGCACAATCTGTTGTTGTGATGTTGTGTTTTCCTGGATCCACACGTGCGTCTGAGAGAGGTGGCAGAGCGAGAGGGAGTGAGGCAGCAGGGGGCCGCTGCTTTGTCCAAACTCTGCACGTTCAGCCGCTTTCTTCTGCCACAAAGACCTGGGAATGTGAGCACAATGGAAGCAGGGCACAGTCTGACGTCTTACAGATGTGTGGTCATGTGTGTTCACAGGGGGCAGCTATTTCTGAGGACAAAAATATATTGAGGCTTCTTACATTGAGTCTCTAGGAAAATCACAAATTAATGCAAATAACAAATATTTAATTGCATAACAGGTCTAACCCCAGGTTTAGGTCAGATGTCCTGGGTCTATAGCCCATTTGCCCCTTTTTTAGAGTTTTTTATTCTTGCTGATACAGGAGGGTCTAAGGACAGTGGGGATGGGTGAAGGTCCTGGACATTCAACAACATTCATGGAAATCCTTAATATTTATGAATATTGGACATCTGCCCCTTATGGCTCTATGTGTTTTTTTATCATTGCATTTCCTGTGTTTGAGCGGTTTGATTTTCTGATCTGTTTTGGTGAATCGACAGCTTTCTGAGGTCCTCCATGATAACTACTGCTGTTATTTAGGGCTAAACAAAAATATTTTGATTATTGTAATTATTATTATTTTTTCAATTTAGTATGGCTCTTTATTGCAATTATGTTAACTGAGCTGGTTCTTACAACAGAAGCAGAAGTCCATACTTGTCCACTTGAGGTTTAGTTTATTTGATAGTCAAAGCAAACGTGTCTACGATGTGAGAGGCTGAACCTGGGAGTCAAACTTGACTCTTGAATCTTTGAACATTATATCTTTCACCAAAACTCTGCTCATCCCTCTTTCGACCTGATGCAGAAAAACTGGTCCATACTTTTGTCTCCTCCTGGACTAATGTAATGCCTTCCTCAGGGTCCCTGGCCTGCAAATGAGAACTGTGAGGCTGGGGTCCTGACACAGAGGCACAAATATGACCACATCACCCCTGTCCACCGCTCCCTCCACTGGCTCCCTATCCACTAAAGAATCCAAACTCTGCCTCTGTGGACACACCAGTGTATCCACAGAACTGCCCCAGCCTACCTCACAGAGCTCCTCTCAGCACCTCAGCTCGACCTCAGCCACTGTCTCCATCAGCCCAGGTCCAAGCTCTCCACAATGGGAGACAGGTTACACGCCTCTGGAACATCCTACCAGAGACTCCGAGGGCACCACAGAGTCTGGAGGCCTTTGAAGAGTCCTAAAGCATTCCTATTTAAGCAGGCCTATAAGAACTTGTATGAGCTTTTAACCTTTTAACATTTAACCCTCCAGGTTTATTGAATATCTGATGTACTTTGATTTTTTTATATTAATATGTATTTTGTATTGAATTTTCATCACTAGCACTTTGAGGGGGAATGTAATGTGCATTAAGAATAAAATGCATCATTCTGCTGAGGGGAGCTGTCATATTTCTGTCTTGGTATAGAACCATGTGTGGTGTTGTTTATTCTGTGAAGCAACAATAACACTGCTGAGACATGATTCCAGACACCTTCATCTTTTGTCATTTTTCTCAGTTGGTGGATAATGTCGGAACAGCTAAACATCTTATGCACAGAACATTTTTTTCTCCCTTTTTTTCTTTTTAAGACAACGAAACCATGCATCTGGACAGCCCCCTTGGGGCAACCTGCAGCCCCTGGTTAAAAATCAAAAAATTAAAAAATGGACAATACCATCGTCCACTTAGCCAAATTAAAGCTGCACTAACTGACTTTATTTTTGTATTCATTATGAAAATGCTATCCATGTCCATGTAGTGCATTGGGATATACGTCCTTTTGAAGAAAAAGTAGCGCAGATTTGTGCTGGCGTGACATTATATTTTAGATCGAGTTTTGATGAAACAAGGAAGAGAATGTGTTTCGGGTCGCAGATTGTGACCAATCACAGCGCACCACTAGCCCCCACTTTCGTGAGAAATCTACAGGTAGCATAGACGGCTAAGTTAGCACAACAAGCGGCGGAGCTAACGTGAAACTTCCTCGTCTTCGTCACCGGTTACTACTTACACAGCAAAACAGCCATCCAAAAGAAAGTCCCGTTCCTGCGCGCTTCCCGGTTCTATCGCTCTATGGTCACGCCATCCACGTGCAAATCCATGTCCATGTATTATCCATATTGGGAGACGCTAGCTTCGTCCCAACAGTGAGTGTGTGTGGGGGGCGATAGCTTCGTGGGTGCGGGGAGGGGAGCAGAAAGAGAGAGGCCAGCGAGTCTGCTGTTTCAAAATCCCAAAGTCGGTTAGTGCAGCTTTAAGGTTTGAACCAAACTAGATTATTGCTGCTGATTTTGGACTGAGAGCACAAACTGGTAAATTGAAAGTCGCATCCACGAAGAAATCTTGCCTCGACACAATGAAGTAGAAAGTGTGACTGTTTTCAGATCTACATGAGTAGTTTCTATAGCAGTACAGTAGTTTTGGCCTCTGATGACTCCATTCATCCATTTTCTTCCCCTTAATCCATTTCTGGATTGGGGGGGTGGCAATCAGCTGCCACACGATTCACAGAGGCCCTTACAGTGGCAGAGTGGATAGCACCCAGGACCTTCTCAGTATAAAGGTCCTGGGTTCGAATCCCAGTCGGTACATGGTCTTTCTGAGTGGAGTTCGCATGTTCTCCCTGTGTCTGTACAGGTTTCCTCTGGGTGCTCCAGTTTCCCCTACCACTAAAAACATGCACAATTTGTAAATTCTTCCAGCTCTGAACCTGATCAAATGGGTCAAATGCAGAGGATAAAGTAAATAAACAAATAAATACATCATTCTAAAAGTACAGTAGCTAACAGTAGTAATACAATACAACAGCAATTTAGGTCACAGCAGCAGAGAAAAAGACCATAAGTAAAGTATAATATGTCTTGGATTCGATATCGTTCCACTTCTAAACGCATTCACGGCTTTGTATCTTCCTCGCGGCGTGCATCCATATTCCAAAAGGAGGTCGGGTGCATATCCATAAGTCGAGATGAGTTTGGGCTGACAGTAATGTGTAGAAATATACGTCAAGGCAAATCTGTCTGTCTGACAGTGACATATTCAGGACAACCCCCACTCAGAAACCTGTGAGAATGAAAGTGGGTTCAGATAATTATAGAGAACTAATAAGAGCTTTATTTGTGTTCACGACGGTCTTTCAGCGCGATCAGCAACCAATTCATTATTGAAATAGTTGTCAACTCATTTAGATACATGGACTTACAGGGGCTGTATCTATATACTATTGTCATTTTAAATTATATCTACATATATTCTGGAGCCCAATGGCCTTCTTTGTCCACCAGGAGGTTAGGACACTGGTGCACTTTTGTTTATAAATCGGTCATTTAATCACACCGAGAGATTGGTTTTTGCATTCAAATGATCCTTTATTGCTCTGAGTTACTTTTGTACAGAACTGGGAGAAAAAGGCTTTTGTATCCTCTGCTCCTTCTACTTGGAATGTGTTTCAAAAAGGCTGGTTATTAACTGAACTTATTTCATTGAATGCTTTTAAATGCAGATTGAGAGACATCCTCATCGACATAACTGTGAATGAGGAATACAATTAACTGTTGCTCTTGTCCAGGACTCGCTTGAACATCTTAATCTCAATGGGACTTTCTTTGTTAAATAAAGGTTAACCTTGTTTAAACGTTTAAAGTGGAGTTATTTCTAGTTAAAAATCCATTTTACATGATCCACTTTTTCAAACAGATACATTTTCAATCAGAGAGCAGAAAACGCTGGTTTTGGTTCCAAACTTTTTTGTGACCAAGCTACTATGACTACCACTACCACTCGGCCTAGTACCACTACTACCCCAAATACTATATGTATTCAATTCAATTTCAATGTATTCTTGTATAGCCCTAAATCACGACAGTAGTTATCTTGGGAGACTTTACAGCACCGTTGAGTTTGCCAACGCAGATCAGAGAATCAAACAGTGACCAATGTTCATAAATGTTGTTGAATGTCAAGTGTCATGGGTCATCATCACTGTCCTTGGATAGGAAACTCCAAGTCTGCATCAGACACTATGTTTTTTATTCTAGCAATGTTTTTCAGAAGGTGAAAAGCTGCTGATGTTATTGTGACATAACCCCTGTTCTAAGGTTTGAGAGAGAGGGACTGGTGGTGACGCTCTCACTTTGTTTCTGGGATCAAAGATAATTATTTCAGTTTTGTGTGTGTTTAGCTGGAGAAAGTTGTTTTGCACCCACTCACGGATCTGTTGGATACAGTGAAGAAGTCCACTGGTCTATGTTCTCCTGCAGTAAGTGAGACAGGATTATCATTGTATGGTCAACATAACACCATAACGTCTTACTTAAAATAAAAAATGCCCCTTCTCCTGGAGCATATTAAGATTCTGCAGGAGCTGTAAGTACCGTCAGGAGCCTGAAGCAAAGTGCTCCGACAGGACTGGCGCAGAATGATGGCTGTGGATTTACGATCTTCATGTTTTATTGAAATATGAATGATTGTGTTTTATTAGAGTTGAGCGGAGGCCTGTCGTGTGGTGTTCACAGACTGATTGGATGTGTGTTCTGTGAGAAACGCCTCCGATGGTTTTACAGCAGAAGAATAAAGGTGACATAAGTGTAAGAAGTCTAGTAAAGTGCAAATTAAGGCAGAAGGTGATAAAGCTGTCATCTGAGGGAGCAGTCGGCGATGGTTAAAGGCATCTGTAGCTTTTTATAAGGTGTGAAAAATAGTTCATTTCTTTGGTACCATGCACTAAATCAATGGTTCCAATCTTCACTTATTTTTGGCTTATATCGATATCTTTGATGTTGATCTTTGTGGAAAATGAAACCCATATTTTATATTTGATTGTTATCATTTTTTACACTATTTAACCAAATGACTTTTCTTTAATTTAATTTAGCTTGATTTTAAATGACACATTGGAGTGTAGCATTCGCTCGGAAAGACCGCTTGGAAAAGCTTTGAACCGTGGCCAGTCTAGATGTTGTTTGCCACCATTACGATTAAGATTAGGATTAGGATTAGGGTTAAAATTAAGATCAAGATAAAGAGATCTTTTATTCGACCCACAGAGGGGAAATGTCAGTGTTGCATACAACTGAAGGATTTTATAGCTACTCTTTTTTATGCATAGTGGCTATTTATTATTTTAATCCTGTGTTTGTTTTTAGTGTGTTATGGTTTTTAATTACCTGTGATTTTATTCTGTTTTTAATTTTGTGTGTGTGCGTGTGCGTTTTTTATTTATTTTTATGTATGTGTAGATTTTAATGTCTATGATTTCCTTAATATGATGTGGGTTGTGAGGCGCTTTGTGTTGCCTTGTGTAGGAAAGGCGCTATACAAATAAAAGTTGATTGATTTCTCATAAATTATACAACAGAAAACAGCAGTCACTATACATAAACATATTTGGGTATTCAATCAAAGATAAGATAAGATAAGATAAACCTTTATTCGTCTCACAGTGGAGAAATTTCAGAGGGCGCATGGAACACGTTGGTAACATTTTGAGTATCATTGCATCCCAAGTGGAAACCCATTTTTTTTTTTTTCTGCAAAATCGTCCTTACTTAAAAAAACACTGAACATTGTCCTTCCACAGGAGCTGATCACCACGCTGTACATCGGGTTCCTCTGCCTGATCTTTGCCTCGTACTTTGTGTATCTGGCCGAGAAAGAAGCAGTCGGTGGGGTTGAAAACTTTGCAGAAGCTCTGTGGTGGGGAGTGGTGAGTACTTACTTCAATGTTTTACTTTGATTGATATGGGAGATTTGGGTTTACACTGAGTTTGTATGAATGCACTGGAAGGGGAACTTTATCTAGCTAGTTTTTTACTCTGAAATATTTTTTTGTTCAAATCATATTATTATTGAAAAGTTACAAAAGATACATGCACCATTTATACGACTGCAGAGTGAACCGAATGAAACGGTGGGAATGAGTGAATGCTGATCGGGAGGAGACTGAAACGCTTTTCTGCTACTGAATAAAAAGAATCCACAATGGGTACACACTTTTGACATCTATCATCTAGAATCAAACATATTTTACAACTTTATCACCATGGTGCCCAGCTTTAGATAATGTTCATGATTAAGGATTCAATTCCATGAAATGTATTTTGTATAACCCGTAATCACAATGCTGTCGATTTGTCAACACCGATCATAAAATCAAACAATCAAAAAAACTCATAGAGCCATTGGTCCATAAGAGGCAGTGACCAATGTCCATGAATGTTGTTGAATTTCGAGAGTCCTGGATCATCATCATTGTCCTTAGATCCTCCTGCATCGGGAAGGAACAAATCTAAAAACCCAATGGGAGGCAAGAAACCCATTGAGAAGTGTGGATAAGTGTTTTCTTTCTTCTGAGTATTTATTTGTTGGAACTTGAGTGGAGAGGTCACATTGAGTAGAAGAAGCCTTTATGTGCTGGAACTCGATAACCTTTTCTCTTAAATGTCTCTCTCATCTCCCACTCCTCTCAAGACATGTTTTTTTAATGTCCTGATCCCTGTATGCTAACGACTGCTCATGTTCCATCGCATGTCGGCCATTTTCACTCCTGCACAGTTTCAGCAAAATGTATTTTTAACGGCCTTGCATTAACTACACTATCCACCCCCCCGGAGGACAGCTGTTTAAAGCCGCCCCACACTTGAATAATTCATAGAGAGCATCACAAAGACAATAGAATAGCATCGCGTCGGCAGGTAGCGTAGCCATGTCAGGGCACGCCGTTAAGTAGAAGCTTTGATGGAGTTTTGAGCGGCGAAAAGGGTCAAAACATCAGGCTGTTTTTGTGTTGTTGTTTGTGGAAAGGCATGCGGCCTCGGGCACATGCAAACAAAGAGATGAGAGCGAGGAAGTGGGAAAAGTCGGCCTGCACCAGAGGTTGGAACGCAGGAGGAGCTCAGGTCTGAATACGGAATGAGACGAGAGTGAGAGGGCAGAGCAGAGGGCTGTGCTAATGCAAAACAAGGTGTAATCAGCCATGCGTTGCTTGTTAGATCTCAGTTTCTCACAGCACACGGGCCGTGCAAAAAGGTCTAGGATACGAGCCGGTGTTGTTAATGAGGGAATGACTTGTGGTCCCCGGTTTGGAAGTAAACTTATTCAGGTCACAAGATCATTAAGATGAGATAAGATATTCCTTTATTCGTCCCACAGTGTCAATGTTGCGCACATCACAGCAGAGAAAGAAGGAATTAAGAGCACTATAGACAATAGAATTAAAATAATAAGAAAATAGAATGGTAAAATAGAATAGAATAAAATAAACTCTGGAGCTATAATTGCACTTGGTTCAGAAGTATTTACAGATGTGTTCTAGGAGCCTTACTTTACAGCAACAGGAGGATGGAGGGAGAGATTGACAGAACTGGGGTGATGTTTAAACCACAAAAAAAAAAAAAAAACGACATAAGTGGATAGGGTTCTGGTAGAAGAATTCCCCAAAATCCAATTATGAAGAATTTGAAGACCTGGAGCTACTGAGTCAGATGGATTCCACCGAGAGAGAAAAAAACACCATTAAATTTAAAATGTTGCCTTACTTTAGCTTAGCTTTAGCTTTTTAAAATTTATTAAACCTATTTTACATATTTTAATGTAGGTCCTGTGGTCATTACTCAAAGTCTTCATTCTTTTCCCTGTTGGGATTGTGAATGGCAAATGACACACTTCCACTTAACAACGACATGTGTCTCATCAATGGAAAAAAAAATGTAATAAGAATGAACTGCATTGGTGCTTGAAAAAAGGGTAATACGTCTTTTTATTAGATCTTTTTATTTTCTGATGAGTCAATCTTCCCAAATCAGTCAAATACAGTATATTGGTAATTCAATCATTCGGACCATAGATATTGGTTTGTGCAGTGTGAAAGAGGCTGCCCTTGGACTGACCCACACTGATAAAGTCCATGGAAAGTAAAAGCAATTGGATTACACAGGGGGTATTTGTGTGAATGGGAGCTGCAGAGTAAATTATCTCAGGCCTTTCAGAGAGACTCGCTGTCACCGAGACTGCACGGTTAAGCAGCGGTCTGTCTCAAAAAGAATTTTCTCCTTCACCTCTGCTAAATTGGTCCAGGGTTGAAGAACTTACCTGAGAGCATGCCAGTGTGCATCCATGGCTCAGGTCTCTTGGTTGTCATGGAAATAGGTCTGGCAGTCAGATGATTATCCTTTATGTGAAAGTACAGAGCTCAATCTTTTGTGCTCTGGAACAGTCGAAGCACAATCAAACTAGGACCTTAAAGAGCATACATTTATCCTTGCAAGCCATTATTGTTATGAAGCTAAAGTGGAAATTCAGACCATAAGACAGGAAGAACTAAGACCTAGCTAACTAATAAGTTGCACATATATTACCAGTCTGTTGTAGCTAGTACCGTGGTCTTTGGGGTCGCATGTTGGGGCGGCAGTCTGACCTCGAGGGAAAGTAACCGGCGACAGGCGGATCAGGAAATGTGTCTGTGTGATGGGGAGAAGTGTGGACTCTTTGGGAGCTGTGCTGGAGAGAAGGATGAGGGCTCTAATGCAGGGCATCCTGGGTAACTCCAGACACCCTCTGCATGACACTATGGGTGTTCAGAGGAGTAATGGTAGAAAATTCCTATATCAAATAAAGTATCCATCTGTCTATCTCTCTCTATATTTCTATCTATCTATTTATCCATCTAAGCTTACACTGTTCAAAGTCCTCCCACTGCTGCTTCATGGCAACAGCGACTGTCAATCACACTCCGCAAATCTCAAGTGGCAGCAATCCGGCACTGCCCTGTATCGAGCTTCATATTGAGAGAAAGCTTAATTCACGCTGCAACCCTCCTCCTCCCCATTTCCGCCTCATTCCGGGCCAGATATTTCATCCTTCTACCTACCACCACCAGGGTCTAGGACCTGGGGGATTTCATCTCATAATCTCTTTCCCCTTCTGTTATCGTGCCGTGCTCTGCTAGGGTCTAAGGGCCAAATCCTAACCACATCTCTGTTCGGAAACAATAAAAGTAATCTTGAAAATATTGTCCTCACAGTCATATGTGTATATTTATGTGTAGTGTCAGATTACAGCCAACCAATATACATTGATACTGTAGGGTAAATATTATATATAGTAGTGTAATAATACTACAGATTATGTTATGAGAAGAATAGTGCGGCTAGTCTTCAAATCAGAGTCTGGCCGTCCTATTCGAGTGGGGGATCTGCTTTATATTTATTTAGGCACCAGCAGTGTATGACACACTGCACAGATCCAAACCAACTTTGCCTCGAGTCAGTCTTATAAATCTAATAGGTAGTGAGTACTTTTATCGGCCAGTGATATTCCGAGATCTAACAACGCGACTCTGAAGGGGTTGAGTTAAAGAAAAGTAGTTTATTGATTACAAAAATGAGGGTAAAAATATAACGAAAAGGGATTTCTGGTCACATTAAAAGCAGGAGTTGTACACATATCATTCAAATCATACATTTAACAAAGGAACAGTCTTACTTTGAAGGAGCGTAGAGGGAAGTGGGTGACTGGGATGAGGATGGAGTGGAGGATGAGAATGAAGAATAGGGTGGAGGCGATGTCGTCCACGTGGTTTCTTTGTCCGGGCAGGCGGGAATTATGAAGCCAGCGACGGCAGTCCAACTTTGGATCCAGGCGTGCACACTCAGTCCGGAATGAGTCACGTGCGCAGAGTCCAGAGCCAGGGCCGGCTGGTGATGAAGAGTTCATAAATCCCAACCAGAGGAGAGTATGTTTGGCGGAGTAGAAGGCCCGATGCGTGCTGGCGCGACCGTAGTAGGAGACACGTGCCGCGGGACGCCGATGGCCAGGGAGGTTGGAATAGTGATTTCAGGAGAAGGCAAGAGAAAGAACAATGGCGTGTGGGTGCTCATATAGGCTTCCCCAGGGGGCGTGTCCATGCCGCCCCTGCCCTCTGTGGACAGACCCCTTTTACAACAGACAGTTTGTAAAGGAAACACACAGGATTGATGCTAATAATCATAAGACATGTACAAACACACACCGTATTTCATTACTTTGACATTGATACACACATATGGGGCACAATGCAGATTATTGGAGTACTGGACCCAGGGGTACCGGTTCGCAATTGTCCGTCCCGGGTGTGATAGTGTCCATTGTTCACAAGGGGGCGTCAGAGCGCCGCGGGGGAGTCTTTGATTGTCCGGTGGCAGGAGTCTGTGAGCGAGGGCAGGGTTGTGATCTTTGATCTCTACAGGCAGGCAGAGACAGAGGTGCTTATCCCCGTGGTGACTTTATTGCTCTTTTTGGCATCTGTAATCCTCATGATTGATGGCGGCTTGTGGCTGACCCCATGGCTCCTTTGAAGCTGTATCTCTCCATTTGGTCAATGGTAAACAGAGTGGACAGGCTTGGCCCTGTCCTAAGTTTAACCTTACATACCCCCCCCACGGCAGAGATGCACCTTCCGATAAGGTGCATGTCATGTCGGATATGCTGTGGGGTTGTCTTCAGTCGGTCTTCTCGCCTGTTCGGGTGTTAGTGTACAATTTGTGGTGACATGTTACAACATTCCCGTCTCAATGTGACTCAGTAGCTCGCAAGCTAGTCCTAACCGGGATCAGGGGTTTTAGGGAGTGAGTTCCGGCCGTGAACTCTAAGGTTTGGGCCGGTGCGCCTGACTCCTGGGTCTCTTGGTCTGGAAGACTCAAAGTTCCAAGCCAAGAGAGTAGCAGGAGTTTCTACTTTAGGGGACTAGGATACAAAAATAGGAAACTTCAAAAATCAAAAAGGGTGGCTGTCTTGGCAGCGGGTAGGAGCGTCATTAAGGCACTCGATGGCGAGGGGTTCCCATCTTGCTCGTTCTAAAAGGGGAGTGTAAGGGTTACACGAATATATGACGTAGCAAGTGGGAATTTAATTACAAGGGACATTTCCTGTATATAAACGGGATGACAGGTGTGATTATCTAGGAGACTGATTAGGCATCGAGGTAGATTGGTTGGGTCTGAGCTGGTGACTCTTAATGGGGTTTTAGGCCCTTGGTTCACCTTCTGTGATAGGAAGGGTGACCGCCTCGAGTGGGTGACTTTGGAGGTCCTCGTACTCTGACTCATTGACCTGGGGACGCCGACTCAAATTGCCACGCTCGACGGCGCTGTCGCCCCGGTTTGGTCGTCTACGGATCTGTCTCGTCATTGCCTCCGTGCACCTGTTAAAGCTATCGCGGAGTCGTCTAACCCGTCTATTTAGGACGAGGGCCATGGCTACGACCAGGCCGTACCCGAGTCCTACCGCGATGGCCATGACTGTATCGGGGGCGGCCCAGGAGTAGGCTACTGGTTGGTGGTGGATGGTCGGTCGCTTGGCAATCTCTTGAAGGAGGTTGTCTACGACCGTAACGTCAACGGTTTGTGCCCCCTCGTAGGTGGCTTGGACTAGGGTAGAGGGTTGAAGTTCCAAGGCCCTTTTCTCAAAGAACTCTGGTACCTCGACCTCTGCCTCGTACTGGTTTGGGTACAGGTGGTATAGTGCCAGGTCAGCACGAGAAGGAAAGTGGGCCACATGTTCTGCAAGGCGTGAAACAACTGTTAGGGGTTAGACAGAGACAGAGAGAGAGAGAGTCGATTAGTGCAGCCGAGAAGAGTGTCAGTGAGTGCTGGGCTAATCGTGTTTGAGGTCACGTGGTGTGTTCCTAACTGGGTTTTGAAGTGTGCCCTGCTTGTCCCATGGGGCTTTGTTTGTGTGGTTTGGTTTGGCTGTAACGGGCCCATCTGAGGGTGGGCTCTCTACCTTTTGTGACCTCGATTTGGTGCACTGCGGTTGAGAGTTTGTTTCCCACCCTGTATGGTCTTGACCAGCGGGGTAGCGATTTCCGGCGTAGTCTGGTGGGGCCGGTCCCCGCGTGTCCTGGGGAGTGTGCCAAGGTGTAATACCATACCTGGTTTTTGACCTGGGGGTGGTCCTGCGGGTCGGTCCTGTATTGGTTTGTCCTCAGGCGCCGGGGGAGTTTCACGTTCTCGTCACTCCGGTTTGGGGATACGTACCTTAGTATTTCGGTCGCCGTTCGGTCCGTTGTTTCTACCTGTTGTAGTGCCTGACGTGTGTTGTTTATACCTGTTTGTTTCGCGGTAGGTGCGTCATGGGCGTGTGCCAACATTACCCCCCTCATGCTTCGAGGCACCACGAGTACCGACGAAGTGAGTGTATCGGAGGCAGAATCTAACAGCCCATGGCGTATCGGCATTATTTCTTCATCACGGCCGGGGGTTCCGAGCGTCGTGTCGATCGTGACGTCGAAGGGGCGTTCTAGTGTGGGGTTGTCGCGTCGGAGGGAGGCTAAGTCCGACCTGTCGAGGTCGGGGGCCGTCCCCCCCCAGTCCGGGTAGTCCCGTTGGCCTAGGGTTAAGTCCTGGCGTGCGTCAGGGGGGTCGCCGTGGGGTTGTCCTCCATGTTTGGGGAGGTTCCCGGCGTTCCCATCGCGGGTCACTGGCCATTGTGTCGCAGCATATGCGAACGGCCCCGACTTGGGGCACCGTAAGTCGTGTGGTCCATGTAGCATGGTCAGGTGTGGGCCAGGGGGGTCGTTGTAGGTTTGTCCGCTATGTTGAGGGCGGGCCCTTTCGTCCCAATGGCTGCGGTCTGAAACATGTCTCGTATGGACGTCAGGTGGGCCGGGGTCATGGGTCGGATAGTCATGTTGTCTGTGTCGCATGTCCATGTGTGTTCCCGGAGGGGCGTCGTGGGGGTCGCAGTGGTCGACGTGTCCAATGTTGGGTTGTGTATTGTTCCTATGACCTTGATTTTGGTCCTTTCCCGTCATGATACTTACCAGTTCGGCCACGCTCCTGCGTTCACAGTTGGACGATGGTTCGCCGCGGTCGGAGCGAGGGGAGTGTGGGCCGGAGGTAATGTCACGGCTGGTTCCGTTCGAAATAGCGGTCCTGATTTCCGCTGCGCGATCAAGATCCATGGTCGCGCTTGGAGTCATGCTCAGTCCCTGTTGGTGGTCCCTACTTACCTGTTGGATTTGTTGTAAGCGGGTCGCGGCGGATTTCCTAGTTTCCGCCAGTTGTCGTTCCAGGTCACTCACTGTGTTTTGGAGCCTTGCTTTCTGGGCTTCGGAGTCGCGCAAGGTTATCCTGGAGATTATGGCCAGTCGTCCTAGCCACTGGGTTAGGGTCTTACCTTGGAGTTTTGTCGTAGTAGCTTCGGATGCTAATCTGGAGGTAGCATCTTGTAAGTCAGAGAGTGAGCTGTGCTCAAGCGTGTCGTAGCCCCCTGGGAATAACTTCTCTGTGAGGTCTCGCAGAAAGTTATCCACTATGCCGTGTCCTTCTGAGACACCGTCGTGCCTGCTCGGTCGTGGCGAGTTTCCGCCATCGATTTCCATATTTGTGTGGGTGAGTGTATGCGAGTATGACTTGGAACGTGTGTGTACGACACGGTGGGAGGAGGGAAAGGAGGAAAGCAGTGCTATAGAGAGGGTAGTTTAGCTGTTGGTCGTGTGGTGGTGTAGACCTTGGTGTGTGTCAAAACCGTGACTACAGCGTCCTCTCCGTGTGGCGGTGTATGCGAGTGGGCGGCCTAGGGCAGGGGCCGGGCGTTAGTACTTCTTCACCTGTGTGTCAGCGGAGAGCGTTGGGGTTAGTGGCGTTGGCGCACGTAGGGTTAGCAGTGGCGCCAGCAGCAGTATTAGGGCGCGGCGTTAATCCGCAGAGGTAGACGCAGCGTGAGATGCACCTGCGTTTGGTCTCGCACTTGCGTTTGGTCTCGCACTTGCGTTTGGTCTCGCACTTGCGTTTGGTCTCGCACTTGCGTTTGGTCTCGCACTTGCGTTTTGTCTCGCACTTGCGTTTTGTCTCGCACTTGCGTTTTGTCTCGCACTTGCGTTTTGTCTCGCACTTGCGTTTTGTCTCGCACTTGCGTTTTGTCTCGCACTTGCGTTTTGTCTCGCACTTGCGTTTTGTCTCGCACTTGCGTTTGTCTCGCACTTGCGTTTGTCTCGCACTTGCGTTTGTCTCGCACTTGCGTTTTGTCTCGCACTTGCGTTTTGTCTCGCACTTGCGTTTGTCTCGCACTTGCGTTTGTCTCGCACTTGCGTTTGTCTCGCACTTGCGTTTGTCTCGCACTTGCGTTTGTCTCGCACTTGCGTTTGTCTCGCACTTGCGTTTGTCTCGCACTTGCGTTTGTCTCGCACTTGCGTTTGTCTCGCACTTGCGTTTGTCTCGCACTTGCGTTTGTCTCGCACTTGCGTTCGGTCGCGCACTTGCGTTCGGTCGCGCACTTGCGTTTGTCGCGCACTTGCGTTCGGTCGCGCACTTGCGTTCGGTCGCGCACTTGCGTTCGGTCGCGCACTTGCGTTCGGTCGCGCACTTGCGTTCGGTCGCGCACTTGCGTTCGGTCGCGCACTTGCGTTCGGTCGCGCACTTGCGTTTGGTCGCGCACTTGCGTTTTGGGCCGCGGCGTAGCTTTAGACGCAGCTCAAGTAAGCAGTAGCAAAAAGGCAGCAGGCTGAGGCAAGGTAATGCAGTTTTAGCGACAGTGAGGGTTAGAAATAGAGTATTAGTTTTGATGTAGTACAATCAAACATAGAGTTTGGCATAGTAGAGTGTTAGTTTCACCACTAGGTGGGGGTGCAGTATCTGTCAGATCACACGCCGATGTGGTTCAACAATAACGCGCATCATGCAGGAGCAGGAGTACAGAATAGGATTAGTTACCACAGCAATGTGTTATTATCAGTGGCAAGGAGGGGGCGGGGGTGTGTGGGAGTGCAGTGTTTGTTAAATCACCACACAGATGTGTTACTGTAAACTAGCAGTAGTGAGTGAGCAGGAATAAAGCATAGAATGCGTATCACCAGCGACATGCAGCAGAAGGAGAGCAGAGTTTACAGCATTAACCTTGGCTAATGCAGCAATGTAGCTTAACAATTATGTTTAAGAGGAGAAGCAGAAACAGAGCGTTAGCTTTTGTTATGTATAGCAGTAATGTGTTCTAATAAAACAATATGACATGCAGAAGGGGGCGGAATTAAAATGATTCGTTTCAGTGTAGTACAATCAAACATAGAGTGGTTATTAGTTTGAGCAATCAAAACAGCATGGAACAACAGCTAGACCGTGTTAATGTTACCACCATGGGCAGCAGTGTGGTCTAGGCGTGACATGCAGAAGAAGGGGCAGGATTAAAATTATTAGTTTTAGTTTAGTGCAAGGAGGGGCGGAATTAGCGTATTAGTTTAGTACAATCAAACATCAAGTTTGGCAAAGTAGAGATTTTAGTTGGAACAGAAACAGCAAGGGACAACAGCCAAAACAGTGTTAATGTTACAACCACAGCCAATCACTTGATCATGAGACGTAGTGCAGGGTAAAAGTCAAGACAGCAGCAATGTGGTCCCGGAAGTAGTGCCGGGACCGGAAAGCAATTTTGTGTTTAGACAATAAGAGGTGCGGCCCGTTTAGCAGTATGCCGAGACGGCTGGCGCCTTATGATCGTCAGAACACAGAATCAGAGTGGGATAGGATAGCACGAAGTATAGTAAGTAGTGTTATTGTTAGACAGCAGGTAGACAATGCAGCAGAATGGTATTAGCAGTGGGGATGCGGCTCTGGCTTTTAGCGCGCCAGGGCCGGAAGTTAGCCGTATGCTAAAACAAAGGAGCGTAGCTAGCATTTAGCTTGCCGGCAACGGTACATTGTAGCAGCAGTTTAGGCAATAAACAATGAGTTTTGGTGACCGAATGCAGTTCGGTCAAACAGAGTGGTACTAGTTTTAACGGTAGAGAAGCAGCGTATAGTGGGAGCAGTAGTAGGAGCAACGGCGTTGTCAGAGTTAGCTTTGAGGCTAGCGGGGCCCGGGCGGAAGTTTAGCCGTATGCTAAAAACAAAGGAGCGTAGCTAGCATTTACCTTGCCGGCAACGGTACATTGTAGCAGCAGTTTAGGCAATAAACAATGAGTTTTGGTGACCGAATGCAGTTCGGTCAAACAGAGTGGTACTAGTTTTAACGGTAGAGAAGCAGCGTATAGTGGGAGCAGTAGTAGGAGCAACGGCGTTGTCAGAGTTAGCTTTGAGGCTAGCGGGGCCCGGGCGGAAGTTTAGCCGTATGCTAAAAACAAAGGAGCGTAGCTAGCATTTAGCTTGCCGGCAACGGTACATTGTAGCAGCAGTTTATACACGAAAGTCTGGAGCGAGTTATACAGTTCGCACAAGCACGTAATCACAGTGGTGGAATGGGGTTTGTATGTATGTACTGTAGGGTGCTGGTGTGTGTATACAACAGCAGGTTAGCAGGCAGAGAGAGTGGTGAGACAGAGTTAGCGTTAGCCGCCTTTAGCAAAACGATAGCATCACATTCAAACAGCTGCCATTTACAGCCTTTTACACAGATATACTCGGTTAAAATCCTGTGTGACCTGGGTCACCAAGGGACACAGTAGATCCGTACACCCGTGTTCTGGACACGGTGTACAGTGGAGTTATAAGAATAAGGTTTTGCGCTTTCTCTTCAGAGGGAAGCGACTTCACAGACTCACGCTGCCCGCTGGCCAAGCGGGGCAAAACGTTGGAGAGAATGCGTAGTACCTGTGCCAAAGCCAGGGTTTTGAGACTAAATTAATAGTCTGGTGCATGCACGAGACGCTTTTATCGCAAGCGTGGGGCGTAGGGGGGCTCGATTGCCGTTGAAGTCACTATAGCAACGGGGGTAGCAGGGACAGAGGGGGTGCGGGAGTGGGGGGAAGCGCTTTGAGCGGAGCAGCAGTCTAAGTTAGCGTATATTAACCGGTCAATTCACAGAGTACGAGTCGATAAATCTGGTCTATATTCGCGGATCTCACAAACAGGGTACCAATACTGTAGGGTAACTATTATATATGTATTAGGGTAATAATACATCAGATTATGTTATGAGAAGAATAGTGCGGCTAGTCTTCAAATCAGAGTCTGGCCGTCCTATTCGAGTGGGGGATCTGCTTTATATTTATTTAGGCACCAGCAGTGTATGACACACTGCACAGATCCAAACCAACTTTGCCTCGAGTCAGTCTTATAAATCTAATAGGTAGTGAGTACTTTTATCGGCCAGTGATATTCCGAGATCTAACAACGCGACTCTGAAGGGGTTGAGTTAAAGAAAAGTAGTTTATTGATTACAAAAATGAGGGTAAAAATATAACGAAAAGGGATTTCTGGTCACATTAAAAGCAGGAGTTGTACACATATCATTCAAATCATACATTTAACAAAGGAACAGTCTTACTTTGAAGGAGCGTAGAGGGAAGTGGGTGACTGGGATGAGGATGGAGTGGAGGATGAGAATGAAGAATAGGGTGGAGGCGATGTCGTCCACGTGGTTTCTTTGTCCGGGCAGGCGGGAATTATGAAGCCAGCGACGGCAGTCCAACTTTGGATCCAGGCGTGCACACTCAGTCCGGAATGAGTCACGTGCGCAGAGTCCAGAGCCAGGGCCGGCTGGTGATGAAGAGTTCATAAATCCCAACCAGAGGAGAGTATGTTTGGCGGAGTAGAAGGCCCGATGCGTGCTGGCGCGACCGTAGTAGGAGACACGTGCCGCGGGACGCCGATGGCCAGGGAGGTTGGAATAGTGATTTCAGGAGAAGGCAAGAGAAAGAACAATGGCGTGTGGGTGCTCATATAGGCTTCCCCAGGGGGCGTGTCCATGCCGCCCCTGCCCTCTGTGGACAGACCCCTTTTACAACAGACAGTTTGTAAAGGAAACACACAGGATTGATGCTAATAATCATAAGACATGTACAAACACACACCGTATTTCATTACTTTGACATTGATACACACATATGGGGCACAATGCAGATTATTGGAGTACTGGACCCAGGGGTACCGGTTCGCAATTGTCCGTCCCGGGTGTGATAGTGTCCATTGTTCACAAGGGGGCGTCAGAGCGCCGCGGGGGAGTCTTTGATTGTCCGGTGGCAGGAGTCTGTGAGCGAGGGCAGGGTTGTGATCTTTGATCTCTACAGGCAGGCAGAGACAGAGGTGCTTATCCCCGTGGTGACTTTATTGCTCTTTTTGGCATCTGTAATCCTCATGATTGATGGCGGCTTGTGGCTGACCCCATGGCTCCTTTGAAGCTGTATCTCTCCATTTGGTCAATGGTAAACAGAGTGGACAGGCTTGGCCCTGTCCTAAGTTTAACCTTACAATAATAATTCCCATGTTTTGCCTGTTCGAGTCTCTCCAGATTGAATTGCAGTTAGTTTGAAATAACAACTTTACAGACACCCAAGGGTATTCTGTCTGTTGAGTCCATTATTTCTACCATTAGTTCATATAATTAACACTCGGACCCCAAGAATTGTCCCAGATGTTTGTTTTTTAACCTTTTTAATCAATTAATAACTGCTAAAACAAGGGAATATAACTTGGAATACAGCAAAAGCAGTTTGTTGAAAGGCCACCGATGCTATCGCTAAAAAGTAAACAGTGTGTTGCTATGGTAACACTTGCTCTTGCTCTGGAAAGTAAAGCTAGAAGGCAAGGCAAGGCAAGGCAAGTTTATTTGTATAGCACAATTCATACACAAGGCAACTCAAAGTGCTGAACAAGATGCATTAAAATCATAAATAATTACAGAACATTAAAACGAAAGATAAAAATATAAAATCCCTCAGTTGTATGCACAGCTAAACAGCACCGTTTTTAACCTGGTTTTAAACATCGTCAGAGAGGAGGCCTGTCTCACATCTTCAGGAAGATTGTTCCAGATTTTAGCAGCATGAATCTGAAAAGCAGCCTCCCCATGTTTAGTTCTGACTCTGGGCACTAACAGGAGTCCAGTCCCTGTGCTCCTCAGAGTCCGGGCTGGTTCATATGGGACTAACATGTCACTAATATAGATCTACAAGCATGTCACTCCTCTACTCTTTACACCAGCAAAAACGCCCCACATCTAATCCCCCAATAACACCAGGACAGCAATTTAAAAGCCGGAGGCAGCCACTTCCCGGCCTTCTTGAAGTCTGCAAGCTTCTGATGTCTGCAAGGTGCATGTCTCTAACGCACTGTTCGCAAATGCATGCGTTGTTCTGGAGGGGTCGCTTCTGCTCACGTGTTGCTGTGCGCGTGGCACGGCTGTCCTCAGTTCTGGTGATCGTGGTATGCTCCTCCTACTCGTCCTGCACCTGCTGTATGGTTCGCGTGTCTCAATGCCTCTTCCTCTGCGGGCCTTTTCGCGGGCTGCTCCGCGTGGGGCCCTCAGCGGGCTCTGTGTGCTCTGTTGTCTTCTTGCCGCGCGCAGACGGTTGGCGGGGCGTGCGTGTCCCTGCCTCCGGATTGGCGGTGCCGCATTGTCCGTTGCTTTTCCCAAAGTCTCCTGGCCTGTGAGTTACAGTGTGTGAGCTGACCTGCGGACGGCATTAAATCCCTGAGTCTGGGTGCCAAGCGGCTGGGTTTTCCACTGCGCAATTGACTGCAGCGTCATC